ATTCACAAAAACTATATCCTCAACCAAAGCTTTTTTGATATTCTTATACTACGAGAAGTTTCCTATCAGATGATATATAACTTGCTTGCAAAACGTTTCACTTTTCGAACAAATTTTTCATGTGTGTGCGTCTGTCTGTGTGTCACGAAATTCATAGCGCCTGTCCCAGTAGCAGTGAGACATGATTTCAAGAAGTGATGTACGGGGTGTGACGGGAACACTATTGGTAGGTGACAGGAAGTTATATCAGTTGATAAGATTCGATAAGGGGCTGTAGAAGGAGAAGGTCACTATAATCATAACGCAAGTGACAGCATCAGCCTGCTCTCGATTTTAAGATATGATATAGAGGATAGTCCAAGAACATCATTAGTGGGTCACAAAAACTGTAAGCTGCTATTCACAGCGCAGGTCACAGCAGCAGTCAGCTCTTGATCTCGAGATATGATATAGGATGAGGGCCAAAAACATTACTGGGGTTAAAACTGTGAGTCTGCTGAGTAAATTGCGATAAGGGACGTTAGAATAGTGAGGTCATCGTATTCATAGCGCAGGTCACAGTATCAGCGAGGCGTGCGTTTCAGCAAGTGATATAGAGAGTGAGTTGGGAACATCAACCGTGGGTGACTAGAAGCGATAACTACTGATAGGGGCTGATAATGGAGGTTGCAGTCGTCGTCGCTGTTCAAGGCGGTTCACGCTCTCAAATCATAGAGATTTAGTGATGAGGACATTGATGACGGGTGACAGGTAATCTTATCAATCGATAAAAATTGATACGATACCATCTGCGCTAACCTCTCACCGCTTTAATGCCGAGTATTCGAGGCTCAGATTGTGAAACTTTCCTTTGGCCAACACTTTCCTGATAACACTAGAAAATGAACTCATCCCACTATCCTACTCTATATAATCCGCTAAGTATGTCTGTCCGTGTGTGTGTGTTTGTGTGTGCGTCTGTCTGTGTGTCACGAAATTCATAGCGCCTGTCCCAGTAGCAGTGAGACAGCCGACGACGAGCGATGAGTATATAGTCGGCGAAAAAGTTGTCGAGCGGGGGGTATACAATAACTATGCAACGTATATCCCACGGGCGTACAGAATGCATATAGTGCATATAAAACAAAAAATTAATACGACCCCCACTTTTCCACAAGAAAAAATCAACTATCAAAATAAATTTGTCTTACCCCACCCCAAATACGACCCCCCTCCTCAGAGCAAAAGTACCTCATGTGTTTCACACAAGGATGCTGTACCCTGTCTGTGTGTTGTATGGCCGTTATGGCGCGGACCGCAAGTATAAGCGTTTACTATGGAACGCAGGATCCGCAGGGTTGCTCTATCTGTTATGATTGTACCAATACAGAGCTGTATGAGCAACGCAGTGATTGGAAGAGTTCCGTTCCCCATTATGGAGCGCGCCTGGCGAAGCCAGGCCAGCTCGGCGAAGCCGAGCTAAAGAGAAGGAGGAGAGCTCGGCGTCAGCCGGGCGATCCGACTGGTTTATATACGTCCTCAATGGATACCACACAGTCACTAAGGATACTCAAGCTCTCACGGCCTCTGAGACATGCATTCGGGAACAGCATTGTCATCTGTGGTGAAAACAGAAGAAAAAACTTCTGCAAGAGCCTCAGCTTTTTCAACATCAGTCAATGAGCAATTTTTCTCTTGAAGAACAAGTATACATGAATTTTTAATGAATTATTAATGAAGCTTAATCCTATATCTGATCAAGGCAAAAACAGCTCTTGTGTGCGAACTGGCACAAACTCTCCTCTCCGTATTGCACAGGAATTTCCTTAGATGATAGTCAAGATCACGGCATACTTTCTTGTGCTCATCTTAGAGCCGTGCTTTCTGAGCTAGTGAAATTATTTATATGTCTCGGGTATTTAGGTTTGTGGCACATTTTTGAAATCGAAGGGTACATACTTAGCTAATCCTGCATAGACAGTGCGGCAAAATCTTTTGTACATGTCATCACAGGAACGTAGCCATCAAAAACGCTCCACCAGTTAATTGAGGAAAAGTACTTCGATAGCGCAGAGTAATCTGCCTTGGCGAAGTCCGGTAAAGGGAGTCTATTGGACATGGGAGTATTGGATAGTACTTAGGTCTAGAGTAGACTCTCTCTCTCTCTCTCTGT